ACCAACCGCAACACCGACGGATCAACTGATTACGGCATCTTCCAGATCAACAGTCGCTATTGGTGTAATAACGGCCAGGGCCTCACATCGAATGCCTGTAACATCAGGTGCAGCGGTCAGTGATAAACCACCACACCCAAAACTTTAACATCAGGGGGACATCCTCCTATTTTTTTACATGCCATGTTGTCATGCAAGTTTTTGTCACCATTGTGTCTGATCATCCACCAAGCTTTAAAGTTGCAATAATCAGTATTATGTTTCTACTATTATCAGTAAATCAAAATGTTCCGCATTATGTAAGTGTCTCCCATGGATAATTCTGACCAACTCTGCAGCTCTAATGGCCTTTATGTGGTATAATGACCTTGTACAGCACTTTGGTAATAATGTCTGTAAAAAGCACAATAGAAATAAATTGAACTTACTTACTAACACTTTTAAAAGGACAGTGCCAAAGATTTGGTGACATCTAGCAATGTGGGTGCAGATTGCAACCAACTGAACCCCTCCGCTCATTAATCCATTTCCAAGTATGCGGTAACACGAGCCACCGAGGGCCTTGGTAACACTACTCATTTAATTTAGAGAGCATCCTTACCACAATAAGACCACTTTAGATCACTAGATGAAGAATATCTAATTCAAAGAATATCCTAAATGAAATAAAAATAATTTCGGCACAAAAACACACAGTGGTTGGAGGCAAACACAACGGTACCCCAAAAAGGATCAGCCAGTGAGTACTTATCACTCATTTTGCATCAGAAGTCATTTATACTCATTTCTACTTAAGGATGCGTTTTTGTAACGTTATTACACGACCAGGAAATGTCTTTTCAGATGTTTAAAAAACTTTTGTTTAGACAGCCAGCTATTTCCCTCAGGAGCTGGTGGACACCAAATCTGAGCTAAAAAGAGTGAATATTGGACTCTTCTTCATAACATGGACACGAACAACTCCAATGGGATGATACGTATCACTGCTGTTTGTCACATGATTTTCAGCTTGTTGTGGAGTTCCCTTTTCCCCAAAAGGACAAAAAGAACAATTGGCTTCAACATCCTCCTATTTAAACTTTTGTTATCAAAATGTCCTTGGGTAGAGTGGATTGTGTCCTTGAACAAGATATGAACCTCAAATTCTCCCGATAGGCCAGTAGTGGTATGTTAGTGTATGCAAACAAATTCCACTGGGAATGGGAGGGCTCGTTTCAGGTTTGATTATTTTTGCTAAAATATTCCTGAACATTGTTCTCTTAACGACCAGCCACCACAGTCCAAATTAGAGAAGATCTGAGTTGATAAAAATGTTGATTATATTGATTTGACTTTAGTTATTGGTGCAGTGCCATTGTTTCGACATCACAATTATCCAAAATCACAATAGGACCAAAAGTCCATTTGTCCGACAGCCCGCTATTTCGAAAAACAAACAGCCATTCATCCGAAGGGCCATTGCTCAGAATATACACACTCTCCCTGCAATGAACAGAAGCTCGTGGGTCATTATTATGCAGAATGATGTCATCAGAACTTACCGATCGCAACATTTTTTGCACATAGGAGAAGTTAGTCTGGACCAGGGGTCTTCAATGTTTTTCAGGCCAAGGACCCCCAAACTGATAGAGGGATGGAGCAGGGACCCCGACTGTATATATTGTATAAAATTGTGTTTTATATTAAACTGGGCCTAGTGCCATGTATAAACATACCTCTTTATTGTGCATTCAGTACTAAGCTATTCAAATAATACACAGGTTCATATATCCATGTTTTTATTTTAAACATGTGCAAGGTACAGTGGGTAGGGTGGCCGTGCCACTGCCATTAATAAACATACCTTGTCAGCTGATACCAATGCCAATATCAACATTTCTGTCAATTGCATGATAATCATGCATACAAGCTATTCAAATTGATGTTTTCATTTTAAACATAAATGTGGAAATGAAAATAAGTGATGGCCTATTAGTGCCACTGCCATGCATCAACATACCTGTTATCTTAAATACAATACTGAACTATTAAAATAATGGACGGATTCATGTTTGGGAAAATAAAAAAATTTAAAAAAATTAAAAATTCTCTAATCATCCAGAAATTTCACGGACCCCCTGCAGTACCTCCGCGGACCCCCTAGGGGTCACGGACCCCCTATTGAAGACCTCTGTCGATGGACGTTTATTTTATCCGGGCAAATGGGCTTTTTGTCCAATGGCATTTTTCAGATTATTGGGGTTTCGGAACGATGGATCATCCAAACAATGTCCCCCAATTGTTACTATGTTGCGATAAACAAGCATCAGCGAGATTCGATTTTGCCCTGGGTTTCTCTTCTACTACACGGATGCACATTCCTTTTGATGGAGGTTGTTGGGTCCTTATGCAGCGCAAAAGAAAGATCTCAAAGAAGCACTGTCAACTTGTTTAGCACAGAGCTCTTTGTAGTAAAGTGCTTTGGATAAAAGCACTATAGAAATGCAGTCCATTTACCAGTTAAATTATTACTGACCTTTGGAGAGGCTGGTTTCTTCACTCATTACGTAGCACATTCTGCACTTGCAGTGACGTTAATGTCCACTTTTTGAATTACCATTCAAATCCTGATTTTTCTTTTCATCACAGAGCTTCTGACTGATAATGTCAGTGTGGCGATCAATTGTGCCAAGCGCGTCGTTCGGGATCCCAATGGCATCAGAGCCTGGTAAGATCTGATCATGTGAATGTGATGCGTTCACAGCGCAAACTTCCACATGTGGAGAGATGAGTTATGTCCCTATGTCTGTTTTTAGGGTGGCCTGGCGCAATAACTGCGAGAACCGTGACCTGAGCTCCTTTGTGGCCGGATGCGGTGTTTAATCAACATGTGGAACCGAGAAGCTGTCATCGACATCATCAAAGTCTCCCATCTTTGGAGTGAAATGCAGAGATACTGAAGCTACAGATTATTCTTTTCAAAGACAGACAATTAAAATCTTTACTGTCTAAACACTTGATGTATTGAGTCTATAATTTACATAATGTCAAATCGAATCAGTGAAGAGAAATGTGGTGATTTCTGCTTGTATCCGTTGTTGGACTCATTTCAAAACCAGATTCAAATGTTAACTCTCTCTTATGACAGTTGTTAATTAAACATGAATGTAAAACAATGAAGAAATGTCTTTTTCATGTTTTGTGAGGCATGAGGACTGAGATGTAAATTAATCTACTTCTCTGTGCATGTTTTTGTTTTTAAGAAAACAAGTTCATTCCAGAGGCCTCATGCATGAACCACTCGTACAAACAGATTTGTTCTTATATGGCATGTGCATCATGATTTAGAGAACTTTGCACATTCACATGTGTAGTGACTGATTCCAGCAACTAGCCACTCGGCTGGGTGCGGGAGAAGATCCTGTTCCTTACTCACTTGACCAAAGAGATTCCAGGCTTTTCACACTTCTGGGTGAGGTTCCCATTTAATTAGAGTTCACAGATGATAATACAATATGATAGCACTTAGCTTCCTGGTCTCCCTCTGGTGTGTCTGGCTTGCGGTAAAAACCGTGCGATCTCCCCGTCACCCATGCATCATTACCTGTCAGTTGCACCTGTGCCCCATATGTCAATTACCTGCCACACCAATACACACTGCCACCCGTGGTCAACCTGAGATATAGCTCCCAATATAAACATTTATACTATCGAGACCTAACTAATGGCTCCTACAACATGTCTTCTCTAAAGTACAAATTATGAAGTTCTTGTGTGTACCAGGCCTGTCACGGGAGTCTTGTACAGATAGTCTGCCTCTCTGTGGGAAAAACACGTGTTTGTGGGAGAAACCCCTTGGACATCCCACAGAAGTCTGGGCTAAGCCCAGACTGTCCTCAAATTCTGGAAATGTCCCTGTTCTTTGACTGTCTTTTAGTAGAACTAAACACTGACCTTGTTATTTCTAAAACCCTGCTCACAGCCAAGCTTATTTTAATCATGTTTTACTATCTAGTATAAGACTAAGACCTCCATGTAGGAGTTTAACTCTTAGAAAGCCTTTGAGGACTCGGGGCACGACAGATGACTTAAAGGGCCAGATCACCCAAAAACATACTTTACATCAGGCAGCAACCTCCGGTTCTGAAGAGTGAAGCCAATGTGGAAGTGTCTTAAACTTGCGTTTTCTCTACTGACCATCAGGGGGCGACTCCTCTGGTTGCAAAAAGAAGTCTGGTTGTATAGAAGTCTATGAGAAAATTACTCTACTTTTCACTTGATTTATTGACTCATTAAACATTGTAAACACGGGTTTATGGTCTCAATCTGTAGTTTTATGTCTACATGTCTAACTGGATGGTTGCAAAAAACTTGTGTAGTACTGTACCTGTGCAAGTTCCAGTAAAGTCTCGACAGACAGTTGATTAGAGGACAGTGTGGTGTAGCTTCATAGTTTTTTACCAATCTGCATCATTTTGTTTTTACTTTGGCATCCTTTTTATCCGTTTATTGTAACTAAATCATCACCAAGTCTGTTTACTTTGGTTTCATACCGCTGTAGTAAACCAGCCAATTTGAGGCATCCACCTGTCAAACATGCGCAAGTAACTCGAGGTAAAACATTGGCTTTGTGTTTGGCGTGAACACAGCATTTGTTTGAAATAGCCTTCAGAGGAAGAGCGGGTTGTCCTCCAATCGGAAGATAGGCAGTTTGATCCCCAGCTCCTCCAGATGGCTTGTCTAGATACTGAACCCCAAATTGCTCCTGAAAGGCAGTGCGGTCAGTGCGTGAGTGCATGTGAGTGCGCATTAGTTTAGTTCCTTTTGGGTACTTAATTACAATTTAGTTTCTGGGGAACTTGAAGGTCTTTATACAACATTTCATGGCAATCCATCCAATAGTTGAGCTATTTCTGTCAGGACAAGTATGGTGGACGGACAGAGAGACAATGCCATCCCTAGAGCCACACTGCTAGCGTGACTAAAAATAGGTGACACAAACTCCGTTGTGCTAACGGTACATGGTTCCAGCAGGTCTCCAGCCCCACCCTCTCGTCCATGGTCACTTCTGGCTCCAAAAAACCAAGATGTTGACGGCCAAAATGCCAAAATCACAAACCAATGGGTGATGTTCCGGTGACTATGTTGACTTCTTATATACAGTCTATGGCAAGTACACTGGCAACATGATACACATTACTCACGATTTCATGTTATGTGCCACTGATTTACAGAAAGTGACACAAAAAAGGTCGTATTGTGGCAACAAAGGCAGTCAAGACAAATACTGCTTGCTAGTGAACATGGATGTGAACAAACTTAAAACTTTTGATGAGAAATACTGAAAGTGAACATTACTTTGTTCTTTTGTTAAGTCAGGTTGGACACTTATTAGACCGAGAATCATTTGTCATGGTTGCCATAAGAGTTTAATCTCCAACTTATCCTTGACTTTCACATCAGTCTTTCTTATCATACTGATAACACAGTATGCCTGAAAACAAACAGCTGATTAAAAACTGAAACACAAAAACCCAGATTCCAACTGAGTGGAAAGTGGAATCTCCACCTCTTTCAAAAGCTCTGTTGGAATTGGACGAAGTTCAAAGAAAACAAAGAGCTAGTGTGCAATAAAGCGGCCACAGTGGTTTCAGCTGAGCTTCTTGACTATAAAAAGGACGTTTAGCAGCAGCAGTGAAAATATTCAGTCCAGCAGAGAGTCAAATATGAGGGGTCTAGTGTTTCTGCTCTTGGTGGCTGTTGCCAGCGCTAAGGTCTTCGACCGCTGTGAATGGGCCCGAGTGCTGAAGGCTAATGGGATGGATGGCTACGGAGGCCACAGCCTGGCTAACTGTGAGTATTAGACCGACAGTCTGCAGATACTGTGTCTGGAACAGAAGAATATTACTCATTTTCTGTACATTTTTATTTATATTGTGCAAGATAACATCAGTTAGGTCCATACCAGCCTACTCACTACAATTCGTACATTTTGCATATGCGTGTACTTCAAATCTGAAAAGCTTGTCTTACCAAAGAATGTATTGTAACATTAGAAATTCGAAAATATGTTTCCCACCGTAAGAGCTAGCCATTGGTTTCCATTCATTTTGATATATTATGAAAATCAATCTCAAAATCTTTGTTAGTGGGCAAGTTGTCATGGAGTTGGCTGGATCTTCCCAAATGGGTTTTGATGCCCTGCTTTGACCTTTCTGACAAGGGTCGTCTGTGGGTTTCCGTGCCCGATATTGAGTTTTCAAGGGGTTTCCATCTGCACCTGTTCTGTTTCCTCTTCAGGGGTTTGTCTGAGCAAGTGGGAGTCGGATTACAACACCAGGGCCACCAACTACAACACCGACGGATCAACTGATTACGGCATCTTCCAGATCAACAGCCGCTATTGGTGTAATAACGGCCAGGGCCCCACATCGAATGCCTGTAACATCAGGTGCAGCGGTCAGTGATAAACCACCATACCTGCCATGTTGTCATGCAAGTTTTTGTCACCGTTCTGTCTGATCTCCCACCAAGCTTTAAAGTTGCAATAATCAGTATTATGTTTCTACTGTTATCAGTAAATCAAAATGTTCCGCATTATGTAAGTGTCTCCCATGGATAATTCTGACCAACTCTGCAGCTCTAATGGCCTTTATGTGGTATAATGACCTTGTACAGCACTTTGGTAATAATGTCTGTAAAAAGCACAATAGAAATAAATTGAACTTACTTACTAACACTTTTAAAAGGACAGTGCCAAAGATTTGGTGGCATCTAGCAATGTGGGTGCAGATTGCAACCAACTGAACCCCTCCGCTCATTAATCCATTTCCAAGTATGCGGTAACACGAGCCACCGAGGGCCTTGGTAACACTACTCGTTTCATTTAGAGAGCATCCTTACCACAATAAGACCACTTTAGATGACTGCTTTAGATCAGACAGCCAACTATTTCCCTCAGGAGCTGGTGGACACCAAATCTCAGCTAAAAAGAGTGAATATTGGACTCTTCTTCATAACATGGACACAAACAACTCCAATGGGATGATACGTAGCACTGCTGTTTGTCAGATGATTTTCAGCTTGTTGTGGAGTACCTTTTTTTGAGGCAGTAGCACCAAAGTTGTAGAATGCTCTGCCTGCACCCTTGCATTTAGCTGTTTCTGTGAACTCATTCAAAAATCAGCTCAAGTCATACCTGTTTAGACTGGCGTTTGTGTAGAAACTTATGTCCTCGGCCTGCTTCTAAGCCATGTTTTAATTTTGTACTTTCTGTTTTTTGTGCATTCTTAAAAGTAAATTATTGGCCCTTATATGGTCACATTGTGTTTTTTATGTTTGTAATTCTGCTCCTCTTGAGCACTTTGTGACTAATGTCTATGAAAAGTGCTTTATAAATAAATCTTACTTACTTACTTTTTCCCAGAAGGACAAAAAGAACAATTGGCTTCAACATCCTCCTATTTAAACTTTTGTTGTCAAAATGTCCTTGGGTAGAGTGGATTGTGTCCTTGAACAAGATATGAACCTCAAATTCTCCCGATAGGCCACTAGTGGTATGTTAGTGTATGCAAACAAATTCCACTGGGAATGGGAGGGCTCGTTTCAGGTTTGATTATTTTTGCTAAAATATTCCTGAACATTATTCTGTTAACGACCAGCCACCACAGTCCAAATTAGAGAAGATCTGAGTTGATAAAAATGTTGATTATATTGATTTGACTTTAGTTATTGGTGCAGTGCCATTGTTTCGACATCACAATTTTCCAAAATCACAATAGGACCAAAAGTCCATTTGTCTGACAGCCCGCTATCTTGAAAAACAAACAGCCATTCATCCGAAGGGCCATTGCTCAGAATATACACACTCTCCCTGCAATGAACAGAAGCTCGTGGGTCATTATTATGCAGAATGATGTCATCAGAACTTACCGATCGCAACATGTTTGCACATAGGAGAAGTTAGTCTAGTCGATGGACGTTTATTTTATCCGGGCAAATGGGCTTTTTGTCCAATGGCATTTTCGGAACGGGGTTTCGGAACGATGGATCATCCAAACAATGTCCCCCAATTGTTACTATGTTGCGATAAACAAGCATCAGCGAGAGCCGATTTTGCCCTGGGTTTCTCTTCTACTACACGGATGCACATTCCTTTTGATGGAGGTTGTTGGGTCCTTATGCAGCGCAAAAGAAAGATCTCAAAGAAGCACTGTCAACTTGTTTAGCACAGAGCTCTTTGTAGTAAAGTAGCATAATATGCATTATCTATCAGAATGTATCAAGTCTCGAGGAAAGAGGACTTAAGCGGATAGGTGAATGAGAGACGATTTGTAAAGTGCTTTGGATAATATTATTACTGACCTTTCGAGAGGCTGGTTTCTTCACTCATTACGTAGCACATTCTGTACTTGCAGTGACGTTAATGTCCACTTTTTGAATTACCATTCAAATCCTGATTTTTCTTTTCATCACAGAGCTTCTGACTGATGATGTCAGTGTGGCGATCAATTGTGCCAAGCGCGTCGTTCAGGATCCCAATGGCATCGGAGCCTGGTAAGATCTGATCATGTGACCGTGATGCGTTCACGACATGTGGAGAGATGAGTTATGTCCCTCTGTCTGTTTTCAGGGTGGCCTGGCGCCGTCACTGCGAGAACCGTGACCTGAGCTCCTTTGTGGCAGGATGTGGTGTTTAATCAACATGTGGAACCAAGAAGCTGTCATCGACATCATCAAAGTCTCCCATCTTTGGAGTGAAATGCAGAGATACTGAAGCTACAGATTATTCTTTTCAATACAGACACTTAAAATATTTGCTGTCTAAATAATTGATGTATTTAGTCTATATAATTACGTATTATGTATAATTTACATAATATCAAAAATCGAATCAGTGAAGAGAAATGTGGTGATTTCTGCTTGTGTCCGTTGTTGGACTCATTTCAAAACCAGATTCAAATGTTAACTCTCTCTTATGACAGTTGTTAATTAAACATGAATGTAAAACAATGAAGAAATGTCTTTTTCATGTTTTGTGAGGCATGAGGACTGAGATGTAAATGAATCTACTTCTCTGTGCACTTGTTTTTTAAGAAAACAAGTTCATTCTAGAGGCCTCATGCATGAACCACTCGTACAAACAGATTTGTTCTTATATGGCATGTGCGTCATGATTTAGAGAACTTTGCACATTCACCTGTCTTCTCTAAAGTACAAATGATGAAATTATTATGTGTACCAGGCCTGTCACGGGAGTCTTGTACAGATAGTCTGCCTCTCTGTGGGAAAAACACGTGTGTTTGTGAGAGAAACCCCTTGGACATCCCACAGAAGTCTGGGCTAAGCCCAGAATGTCCTCAAATTCTGGAAATGTCCCTGTTCTTTGACTGTCTTTTCGTAGAACCAAACACTGACCTTGTTATTTCTAAAACCCTGCACAGCCAAGCTTATTTTAATCATGTTTTACTATCTAGTATAAGACCAAGACCTCCATGCAGGAGTTGAACTCTTGGAAAGCCTTTGAGGACTCGGACAGATGACTTAAAGGAATTGCGGAGGTGCCTTAAACCTGCATTCTTCTTAATGACATCATGGACGTCTGATTGTATAGAATTCTATGAGAAAATGACTCTACTTCTCACTTGATTTATTACCTCAGTAAAGATTGAGTTTATGGTCTCAATCTCTAGTTTCAAGTCTTCTTCAATACAGCATGATGTTCATTTAGTAAGTGATGGTCCATTTAGAGTCAAACAGACCATAAAGCAGAGTATGCTTCAGGGCTGAGCTACCTGTGATTGACAGGTTGCTACGACGACGTTGTACCGTCTGGGAGTTGTCCGTGTTTTCTTGTTAGAACTTAAACCAGTGTGTTTTCAGTTCATGAAAGTTATTTGTATCATTTTGATCGCAATAACATTTCCTTTTACAATCAACACTTGAAATGATGAAGGCACTTGCAATTGAGGTAGTACATGTAATCCATACTTTGGTGTTTGGTATTTTGGAAGACATCCTATCATATATTATAGTGTGATACTAAAAGCTACAAACAATAGTAAAGGCTACAAATAACACAGGTTAATACAACTTAAAGATTAACACTATGGTAAATATACAAACACACCACAATAAACCTATATTGTTAGATAGAATATTATTGGAGTATTACAGGCCTACTATAGAAGACGCATAGCCCAAGTATAATAATAATAAAATCACAAAACATGCTTAAAGAATAAATAAATAGGAATAAGCAGCGAAGCTCCGCCATCCAAAACCACCTAAAACAAAGTTTTAGCAGCTTTTTGAAGAAGTACGAACTGGTCAAAATGTCTTCACGGTCTTGGGTGTATTTGGAGAAAGAAAAGAAAAAACGTTACTAGCCTATTCCAGAGCTTTCAACTACACCTCACGGTTCGGTAGATACAAGTTTTCCCAGTCGTCACAAGAATTACATGTATATAGACTTTGAGGAAGGCCCTTCCCTGACAAGTCAATGCCACCATGGACAGTATAACCTGCCACTCAATACTGACTACTCTACTGATATGCTCATACGAGCAAAGTTGCTTGCGTGACCTCCCCAAACTCGTCCTTATGTATTGAGCGTTTGGTATTTTTTGCTGTATGACCTCCCTCAAAGAGCAGAGCCTTTCAACCAAATTGAACTGTAAGACCATTTTCTATAAATTGTCAGTTCCTTGATGTGATTCCCTGCAGCCAGGTTCCAAAATCTGATGGAAACCCTAAAACACCCATGGTTGTGGAATGACACGTTCATGGGTGCAATGATTGAGCATACATTTATATCATGACCAACTAAGACAGGCATGTCCAAAGTCCGGCCCGCGGGCCAATCACGGCCCGAGGTCAGATTTGATATGGCCCGCACCTTCTGTCTTAAAATGCATTATTTATGGCCTGCCAGCACAGTCAAAACGGAATGAATAAATCATACAAATTCAACATGCAATTCCTCTTTTTACCTCATGGTGGCAGCACCACTCTGTAACTGTCTGGCTGTTTGAAATTGGCTCTGACCCTTGAACTGTCATGTTACGGTAAGTAAAAAAAGGAAAGTCGATAATGAGGGCCGCCGCTTCAAGGAGAGGTGGAGATCGCAATATTTTTTTCACCGAAAACCGAAACAACTGTGTCTGCCTAATTAGTCATGAGACTGTTGCCTCGTTTAAGGAATATAATGTAAAGAGACACTACGAGACCAAACATGCTAATGCTACAACAAGCTATCAGAGCGACCGTGCTAGAAAAGTGAAGCAACTCCAAGATAACTTGGCCTCACAGCAGCGGTCCTTTTCACATGAAAACATCATCAAAGTAAGCTACGAAGTGGCCATGCTAACTGCTAAACATGACAAACCTTTTATGGAAGGTGAGTTTATCAAAGACTGTTATGAAAATAGCGGAAAACATAATTGCCCCGAGAAGAAGACAGAGTTTGCTAATGTTTGCCAGGCTCGTAACACTGAAGAGCTATCATCAGATACTAAGAGACAACTTGATGTATTTCGTCAGCCTGTTTCATGTGTGTTGAACTTAAATGTGAGACAACTTTTCATTACCCTCACTAAGTCATATTTAAGATTGTCTTGAGGTGAGAACATTGATTGGTTTCTATGTAATTAGCTTTTAGATGGCTTGTTCTTTGTGTTATCTGACTTTCAAGATGTGAAAGAAAGGCAGAATAGTTGTTGAGATTTGTTCACACATGAATGCTTACATTTGGTTACATTGCGATTTGCTGTCATTGAAAATAAAATGATTAAATAACGATGTATGTATAGGCTACTTGTATTGTTTAAAATAATGTCAGCAGGGACTGTTGGCCCTTGGGCATTTTCACATTATCAAATCTGGCCCTCTTTGAAAAAAGTTTGGACACCCCTGAACTAAGACATCATTATTAGCGGCAGCTTCATGTCTCCTGTTTAACCTCAGCAAGTGTTTTCTGATGCAGGTCACGATCTGAGCTGCTGTTACCGGATGGAAACAGGAATCCCTGGACGAGAGAGAAAGAGAGAGAGTGTGTGAGACAGAGGGAGAGAGAGTGTGAGAGAGGGAGAGAGAGAGTGTAAGAGAGAGAGAGAGCGAGGAGCATCTGGCAATGAAGCAGGAATTTAAATGTGTAGTTGCAGTGATCAGAAACTGGCATCATAGAGCCATTAGCAGATGCAAATGAGAGCAGAGCTGGCAGGCTGGTTCGTCTTTAACACATAAGCACCACACACAGCTCATAGTCACAGACAAAGTCCAACATCTGGACTGGGAACAGTTTATGCCAGGAATCTGACAGAAGCAACAACACACTGATGATTTAGATATTTTTACAGCCTAGCCAGTAATGGATCTAAAAATGAGTCCTAAGGGTGGAGCTAGAAGAAAGGTCATGGGGTCATTAAAGGGTTCGTCCTCTGGGGAACATGAATGTGATCAGGAAATGTAAGTACATTCAAACATTTCAGCTAGATGTGACTGTTGAACAAGTCATTTCAAAACCATAGGCATTGATCTGCTGCTATTAACAACCAAGCAAACTTTAATTATACAGCGCAGAAGTAATAAAGTGCTGTGTTGGACAACACATTCTCATTCCCAACTCATCAAATACTGATGCTTGGTCAGTGGCCCCAGGCTTCAAACCATGATGCTCTAGGTTTCCCTCTAGAGTCAGTTTTGGACGTGTCGGGGACAAAGTGTCAGTTTACAATCGTTACATAGTGTCTTTTCAAAATAAACTTCCGTGTTCACAGGAAACGTACAGTTTCCAATGTAGATTTACTCAGATTTTAGGGTTACAGCACTTTATTACCTACTTGGTTGGGTTTAAGAAAAACATTATGGTTTGGGTTTGCTATGTAACTGCATAGCAAACATAAATAACAAACAAAAGTAAGGTCAAATAAGGTAAGATAACGTTGACTTGGTTTGAAGGTACACAAACAGTGGTGTCCTGTGTTTGACCCAACCTTCCACCCCGAGCTCCTCACTAAGCAGACTTTCTTGCTCTTTACACTGCATCAGTTGTTCTGACCTTCTAATAATCCCGTCTGATACAGATGCTAACGGGTGCCTCGGTATCAAACGGCGAGGGCTGCTGACCAAGTGGTGGTATTAGACGAGTTGGGAGTGAGAACGGGTTGTGTTGTTGGAGGAGGATAAGAGATAGGCAGGTAGTAGAGAGAGAAGACAACCTATGAAGACAAGGAGAGAGAGTGTATAACCAACAATAGTCCAACAATCGACAAGAGTCATCACAAAGTCACTGCACCTGGCTATTGTTCACAAAAAATAGTTCCAGCACGTAAACCCCAACAAACCACAAAATGTTGTTTTTACATGTCCGTCCATGCACAGAAAGAAATAAAATGAGATACAAAGAATGTTCATGAACTGCAGAGGTCTCGGTAGGCGTATTTTTTTTTAAACTTTGGATAAAACCAGACTAGCGGTCTCCCCTTTCTTTCAGTATTTATGCTAAGCTAGGCTAACCACAGCCTGACTCCAGCTCCGCACTTAACTCACAAACATGAAGTTCTTATCGATCTTCTCATCGCACTCTCAGAAAGAAAGGAAGGTGGTGTATTTCCCAAAATGTTGTCCCATTCCTTTAAAGATTGAGCTGTCTGCAGGGTGGAGAATATTGATTGTCAACGTCATTAGAAACACAGTCCTTTGTCAGCAGAATTTAAAAGAACACCGACAAGCAATGGTGAATATAATCATTTATTTACTCCATTCCAAGAAATGTACACATATGTTCTCTCAAGGTATAAAATTTGTCTTAAATAAGCAATTGTTCCATTTCATATTCATGTAAATTCTCATTATTTTAATAAAAACCCAGAAAACTGACAACAATCTGACACCACAAACAACCAAAATCATCAGAGAGCGCAAGAAGAGTTGGTAGAGTTAGCAAAAGCTGTCCAGCAGTTTGCAATCTGACTTTGGGTTTGTTGAGGGCGTGGCTCTTCAGCATTTCTTTAAAATCATTTATCAGCTTTATATCAAAAAGCAAGAAAAGTAATATCTGAATCTGAAAAGTGAGTCAAGGTAAGCACTTGTAAAGTTTGTACAGATGATAAAACAGAGAAAGGATTAGAGGCTTCGGTTGTTGCTTTAGATAATCCACTTATTGCTGCTGTTGCTCATTCCTATGTTGCTGTTTCATGTTGCTGCAACTTTTAACGCTGCGGCTGTTTGTTGTCCTTTTGTAGTCGCAGCCGGTGTTGCTGTTGTTGTTGCTGATGCCGTTATTGCTGTGGTTGCTGCTCCCGTTGTTGCTGCTGTTGCTCTGGAAAAAATCACTGTAGTTTCCAGATGTCAATAGATCCTGAAAATTGTTTCCTTAACGGGAAGGTTGAAGCAATCGCCTACTGAGACAACAGATCAGTGCAGGTGGGTTTTAGTCTGTCGGTGGTCTGTTTTTGGTCTGTTGTCTGGATGAAGAGGAAGTTGATTATAAACCTGAGGCTGGTGAACAGAGGAAGTCTGGAGAGAGAAACAGAGAGACAAAGAGTTATTGTCACTGGTAGCAGTTTAGTTGACAGATTTTGTAGTCATTTGTTGCCACAGTGATCACAGGAAACTATTATAAGCACATCATGTTGGCTCTATTTTTGCCTGACTGTCTGAAGTAGTTTTTGTTTTAGTTTGAGAAAAAAAAATCCAAACTCAAGGGCCACTTGTATCTTGTTCTGGAATTTTCAACCGCATTATTTTAAGTTTGTCAGTGAGATAAATCTGTTGACATGCAAGCTCAGCTGCTTTTGTGATTTAATCCGGAGCACTTTCAGAGCTTCTCGTCTGTGTGGGCTTAAAAAGTAAACTCCATCGACCAATCAAGATTATGTGACATAGTTGATAGCTCCGGATACTGTAAAGCGAGTAAGTGGACCTTGAGTTGAGGTTTCTGTTGGGTTTTGATAATAAAGTTCACTGCAATTAGTTTTTGTGTTTTTCTTTCTGCATGTATGTGTCCTGTCTCTGATGAAAAGGCAAAAAATAAAGTGTGAATCTCACTGAAATGAGAATGTGAAAGTGGCATCTTGAAAATGAAGTTTGGTGACACAGCAAAAGCTGGGCCTGTCAATGTGTTTGATACTCAAGACAAAGCGTCCCAAAACAATACTTTTTATATTAACGTATCAACTTGCTGAATATAAACGTACTAAATGTACTATAAGTGTTTTGCTTTCATGAAAAATAAAAAGCCAAACACAAGCAGGATTTTAAACAAATAAAATGGTATGGCATGAACAAATGAAGTTATACTTTACATATACAAGACTACGCAAAGAACACTATGATTATGGATTATTAAGTGCTTTTGGAATGTGCGGACCATTTGGTAAAGTGAGGACATGATTGGTAAGCAAAGACATTTGTCGAGTGAGGACATTTTTCTGGCCATTTTTGTGAATTGGCAAATGTTTCAGTGGCGATATTTTTTGAAAGAGGGAAATCATTTTCCCAAAGGTAGGACTATTTTTGAAAGGCTTGGACAATTTCCAGGACATTTTTAGAAGGTGGGGAGTTTTTTTGTGAATCGGGCAAAGTGAAGACGTTTCTGTAGGGTCATCTTGGGGTGGGTATCATTTTTCCTTAGTGAGGAATTTTGGGGGAAGTGGGGACATTTTGAGGAAACATTTGGACAGTGAGGTAATGTTTGAAGATATTTTAACGGAAGTGTTTAACATTTTATAAATTGAGGACGCCCTCCCTGGACAGGACACCGTGGAGAATTCAGCTCACCTGCTCGAAGAGCAACTCTATAAAATTGTCCAACCTTTAGGTTTTGTTGCGTTTGGTTTGTCTTACTTTAACTTCTTTCATGATCATGTAAAATAAACCTCGTGGTGGTCTTACCTCTTTTGTCCATCCTTGCGTCAGGTTATGATTACATTTATGGAAAAAGAGAACAAATTTTAGGGTTAAGAAGACCTGGTTTTAGGATTGAGGTTAGAATAAGCTTTATGTGAGAGAGGGCCCTCTCATGTATAGAAGGACCAACACGCGTTTGTGTGTTAATGAGCACTCAGGTCTATACTGATGTCGTTTCTAATAGTGTGTAATTGAGGCTCCCTGCAGAGACTTCTAAACAAAACTCCGCCTCCTACCTCCTTCCTCCATTAGAGCCAAATTGACTCGTTAAGCTTGTCTTAATAAAACCCACTTAATGAAAACATTCTACGGAACAAACAGTCTCTGCCGCCTTTCTTCCACCTCCTGCTGAACAATAAACATCAGCCTCTGGACAAAAAAAAAAAAGTCCAATTAATGTGGAGAGCCTCCATGCTAATCATTAGCTTTTCCATTAACCCCTGGACACCTCCTCTCTCCTGCTGCATTAATAAGATGGGCGGGGCTACAACCAGGACCCCCGGCCTGCAGAGGCCTTTTCCCTGCACAGAAGAATGTTTTAATTATACATGAAACACCAGAGTGAGGCGCTCACACAGGAGTAGAGGAGTGATATCAAATAGTACCATGTTCTCCTCCTCCTGTTGCGCCTCCATGTCCTTTCCTCAGCTGTACAGCCCATTCTGACTCCCAGATTTAGAGCAAGTCCCGCCATGATGAAAATGTCAGAACTGACATAACAAACAACTAAAGTTGCCTTCAGACTACTGGGGAATCCTGGTTTGCCAGCAGTCCATTAAGATGTCATGAACCAGTCTTTCCGTTTTCATTTTACCATTTTGGATCCCGCCCTTTTTGGTCCCACCTTTTCATTTTTATGACATTGAAATGATGACATTTTTAATCCATAATTGTGCCATTTCAATCCCTCCTTTTAATTGCAATTCCTCAATTCAAATCAAAACCTGTTGTTTCCATTTGAATCCTATCTTGTGCCATTTTTGAATATTTACTCTTTTCTATTTTAAATCTTTATTATTTTATTTGAATTTCAAATTTCCTGTTGAGCCATTTTGAATCCTTTTTTTTCAATTCTGATTATTTCATTTAGTCCTTCCATTTGTAACCATTTTGAATCCTTCATTGTCATGTTTTGAATACCTCCTTTCCATTTTGAATCTTATATTGTGTCACTTTAGTCCCGCTCTTTCCATCTAGAGTCACTTTTTTCTCCCGTCATCCCTTCCTTATTGACATTTTGATTACCTCATTCTTTCCATTCTGAATCCCTCAGTGTTCCACTACAAAAATGCAAGTGTTGCCAAATCCACCAAACAGACTATAGGATAAACTCTTTGTTTCATTGTTTCACTGTTTCAGCATATGAATGTGTCTGTATCTGAAAGTGTTCTTCCTTCAGTGTTTCGGAATTTTCATGTTTCAGTCTGATAATCCTCAGCTCAGTCTTAATTACTCCCTAATAATTAGAAAATCCTGATAATCTGCCGCTTAATCGAGGCAATTCAGCTGACTGACAGCACACACACACACACTCAGCAGTTATCAGCCTTGTGAATGACTTTGAAGCAGATAATTCTCTGTGTCTCAACATCCACTAATTACCAGCAGCTGAAAAATGCTGCAGGAGTCTGAATCAGCTCCTCTGGAAATTACAAGATACATAGCTAATAATCACACACACACACACACACACACACAGGCCAGTGCGTTTGTGTGTCCGTATCAAACTGTAACAGTCTCTTCTCAGTCAACAGTGTGAATCTTTCGTCTCGATCAGATAAAAATACCAGTCTGCACATTTAAAGGAACAGTGCATCATGTAGTGAAATCCATATCATCGCCAGAATTAGTTGAGCGGATTGGATGTCGGTTTCATCTCTGTGTTTGTCTAATAAAACAGAAGAGTGATGGGAAAAGGTTTTAGAACCAAACCTTTTATTTCTCTTTTTGCACTCGTCTTCAGCCACAGAATGTAACGGGGGTCAACCACGCTATTTTTCTAAACCTATCTAAGTGGTTTTGTTGCCTAAATCTAACTCCCTGTGTAGAAGGAAGTTTATTTTTAGAAGACACAATGCTTGTCCAAAAGTGTCTCTAGAGGGGTACCTACCTATAGTTTGAAGCGTAGGGACACTGACCAAGCATCAATTTTAGCTTTGAGTTGGGAGTGAGAACATGTTGGATGACGGCACTAGACGAAGGATTCATCCTCTGGGGACCATGAGTGTTTGTCCAAATTTCCATAATCCTATACTCTGATATTTCATTCTGGACCGAAGTGGTGGACCGACCACCCAGCATTGCCATTCCTAGAGCCATGCCACTAAAATGGCCAGACATTTGGCAACTTTTATTATGAGCATGCGGGTTCAAGGCCCCGATTGGGCTATTGTGTACATTGAAAAAGTACATTTACTCAAGTACTGTACTTATGTAATGTTTTGAAATATGTATTTGACAGTCAACACTGTACTTTTATTCCTCAACAGCTTCTGTTGTAAAACTTACTAGAAAAATATTCAGCATACAAGAGAAGATACATTGAACGTCCATATGTTAGTATCCTTTTTTATTTTATGTTTGTTTATGCTATGTGTCAAAAATAAATATCTATTTTTGGAATAATGTGCTAAAAGTACTTTTGTACTTATATTTAAAGCAAAGTTTTGAAAGCAGGACATTTATGAGTTATGGAGTATTTCAACACTGGTACTGCTACTACTACTACTACTAAAAGGATTTGAACACTTCTTCTACTACTGAAAGACATTTTAACAACAAAGTAATGGTGTTTGACTTGTTTCCCCTTCCTGTTGTATTCCTGCAGTGTAAGCAGCATTGGTGTGTGACTGCCGTGTTTCCAAGACTGAGCAGACGGAGGAGGAAAAGAACGGAAGACACCAACTCAGCCATAAAACCAACATAAATAAATTAGCAAGAAGCAGCAATAACAGTCACTGCAGCAGGAAACGAACGGAAAGGACTGAGCTTTCTGCAAAGATTTAAAATGGTTGTTTCAACAGCTGGAAAGCAGCCCGGGAGACACAGAAGCACACACACACACTGGCTGGCCGCTGCCCTCTCTCTCTGGTCCAGCTATAAAAACCCATTAGTAATCACTCCTCGACTCTCAGCGGCTCTTTTTGCCCAAACGACTTCCATCCAGCCAATCTGCATAAATCTGCATTAATGGACGATTTTCCCTCCGCAGAAAACAAATGTGCTTGAAAAAAAACAAAACGCCTCCTTATCTGTCGGCTTTTAGAGGAAACATCACAGAGCAGGGACACACACCATCCATCTCACCACACACACACACTTGCAGCGTCTATTAACAACCGATGTATCACGACAGACGTATCACTAAAGTAACACTCACAAAGGAGACATAATGTGAGTGTTGAACTTGACAAACAAATGCTGTTGATTTAACTATTCTTATGCTGTGTTCACATCAAACGTGAAATGAATTATGTAGTTATTTCGGCATCCCCTTTATTCATTTATTGCAATTAAATCACAGCAAAATAGTATCATTTTTGAAAATTGTGAAAATTCGATTCGCATTTGGTGTGAATACAGCATTAGAGCCAGTAGAGGAACTAGAAGTTCAAACCACTACCACAACCTTCCATCAACACTGCTGATTGGTGAGAGCAAATAACCTTTGACACAGAAAATGGCTAACAGGAACACAGGTTCAGATTGACTAATTCACTAAAAATGAGGCTTATTCACCGTTGAAGTCATTTTCAGATACAAGCAACTCAACATTTTGCCTTTATTTCAAAATAATATTGTTCTGTTTGTTAAGGAAACATCAGCCACGATGAACAAATTAGTCCTTCAATTGTGTTTGAAGAGCCAAGTTAGCCAAATGAGAATGAAGAGCATTTCTTTAGCTCTGTAAAATAATGTATTTTAATGGTAATAGTAATTTAAGGAAAATTTGAATTTTCAGATTTGCATTGAAATGTTCCCCAGAGGATGAACCTCTGTTATTTAACTCCCCCATCAGGACGAACTGCACTCTGATGTTAAATCCTCTGACAGCAAAGTCCGGACCTAATTAATAAGAGCTGGAGTCAGCAGACTTTTCTCCTTTCGCTGGTAAAAAGATAAAAATATAAAAAACTCTCCAGATCTTAAAGTCTGCTGCAAACATTTTTACACTGAAAGCAGTCTCTGGTCTGCTGTCTGCCCTGTTGCCACAGCGACCCTGACCTGGATAAGCAGCTGGGAAGCGGAGGGATGATGGATGGATGTGTAAACTTCTGAAAGTAAATGTTTTTTAATTTGGTTTTGTTTACAGGCTCTGCAGAGTGAAATATAACCAATAACCAAACAAACTGTAATATAACACACACACGTATCACATTAACCATTAACACACACTCCAACAACAAGCCCACGGCCCATCAATCACACTCACATGCACACACACTCATGCACGCACACAAACACACACACAATGTCGGCTGCATGGCTGAGTTTCAATCAGACGCCAAGAATCCCATCAGCATTCACAACAAGTCTCCACACACACACAAACACACACACACGCACACACACACACACACACAGAGAGAGCCAGATAGGGTTTCTGACAGAGCAGATTGGTTCTGCTTCTGCATTGTTCAAGACATTTAAAGCTGCGATCTGCAACTTTCCTCACTTTTAAACTGCAGTACTTCTTGTCGGAAGTAATACTTAAGTATTATTCATTTTCTAATTTTGTAGTTCTGTACTTAAGTAATTCAGTTAGTTACTTCAGCCATTTCTTTAGTAGTTGTTTGGTGAATCACATTTAGTTGTCAGGGTAGTTAACAATAGTTTAGGTGTTCGGTAGATTGATAGTTCAGTATTTTACCAGTTCAGTGTTTAAGTACTTTTCTGGATTGTTTGTTGCTTAGTTGAGTAGTTTATAGTTCAGTAATGAAACACTTTAGTAGTTTAGTTGTTAAGTAGTTCAATAGTTTAGTAGTTTGATAGTTTTGTAGTGGTTTAGATGTTTAGTGTATCTGTAGTTTAGTAGTTCTGCAGCATGTTGCACGTAAGTTCTCTCTTAAGTTAGTCTGCAAAGTTCACACTAGTCCAGGGGTCGGCAACCTTTACTATCCAAAGAGCCAGTTTGCTCTATTTTTCACCAAATAAAATTTGTCTGGAGCCGCAAAAGCTATTTGATATTACAGCTTATAAAGTTTTATATATAGTTATATTATTTTTACAAAAATTATAGTTTGTTGTATTTATGAAATTATAGAACTAGAATAAAGACAATTCTTGACATTTTATTGCCATTTTACCTGTTAAAACAATATCAAACTCTTATGAAGAGGAGAGTTTGCTGCAGCAGTTGAGAAATCGCTCTTTTTCGCTCATCTCCAGCGTGATACTTTGCAGCATATGCTGTATACAGAGGGGCTGAAGCGCCGCATGCAGCTCCAGAGCCGCGGGTTGCCGACCCCTGCACTAGACGATACATTTAAACTAGTAAGTTTGATACTAAAGCTGCGTCAATGTTTGGTTGCACCACGGAGACGTATGGTCCATCTTAGTTACTCTGGTGCAAAGTCTACACAAACGACACAAAAAATATTTGTTGACATTATCTTTTTCTGTGACCAATCAGTGAAAAACATAATTCTTTTTGCAGTTCAGCGAAAAAGTTAAAAATAGCAAACTTTAATCACCGAACACCAAAAACAAGGTACATTGTTCAGTAAGTTGTTTATCAGATCAATAGTTTAGTAGTTTTGTGTTTCTGTACATTAACAGTTCTTCAGTAAAGTACTTTGGTAGTTTTGTTGTTTAGTGATTCAATAGTTAAGTAGTTTAGTAGTTCAATAGTAAAGTAATTTAGTAGTTTAGTTGTTAAGCAGTTCAAAAGTTTTGTAGTGTAATGGTTGTGTAGTTTAACAGTTTGGGAAGTACTTTAGTAGTTTAACAGTTCGTCTTGTTGTGGTCAGCCATGAAAGTGGACCATTTTCAGGGACTCAATCTGTGTGAACAGGAAGCTGCTTTGTGTGGAGATTGAGGAGATTTGAGTGGTGTGTCACTGTGATGATGTACAGATATATATAAAATGTACACTGTGTGTTACATTTTTTCATCATATGATGATGTTCGCAGACTTTAAACCATCTCTCCTCACCTCACTGTGACTTTTCTTTTCCCTCTTTACCCTGACAGATATTTCATCTCTTTTTCCCATATTCTGCTTCTGACTGATGTGCACATCATCTTGCCTGCCTGAAAGCAGGTTGTGATACTATGACAACTGGCTAATGTTAGCAATCTCCTCGCCAATCCTATTTGCATCCATTTGAGACAGGGTCTTTAACACTTTTAATACTAATATATTCAACTCAGACATGCTGGGAATTGTAATACAAACACTTATTTTTTTAGATGTTTTAAAATCTCATTCAACTTGCTCAACAGGAAAAAATAAATAAATAAATAAAAATAA